GGAATGCCCAATAAGTTACAGTAGAAGAAAAAACCCCAAACCATTCTATTACACCATTATTTATTCCAAATCATGATAGGTGATATCTTAGAAACACAGAGTACAGCTCATAGATACATAATTGTTTAGTTTTGGAAATGAAAGTATCAAAATTTAAAAATATTTCAGTGAATTGCTGTCTGATTCAGACAGCAATTATCCAAATTGTTGTCAGAAGTTTTCAGATATAGAGGATTTTTAGCACAATCTTAGTTCATTGTCATTTATTACAGCTATGCTATGCAGAATTGTATCTTTTACTTTCTGCTTCATCTAAGAACTAGGCAGTTCTGTAGATGAATTAGTATGTCTGGGGTGCTTACCATGTTAAGAAAATAAACTGATAAGAATCCCTAAATATATAAAGTATTAATAGAAAAGGATGTATGGACTTTGAAGTGTATCTGGGTAGAATTTGCCTTATGTATTCTTTTTCAGTTGACTACAAATATGTTTGCTTTGTGTAATAAAACCATGGGGAAAATGCTTAGATATTAACAGAGACTCAAAACATCTGACAAGTAGTAGCATGTCTGCTGGTGAAGGATGATCCTTGTCATTGAAGTCTTATTTCTTCCTTTTAGATGGTACTGTGGTGGAACCTGACATGTCTGCGGGGTTTTGCCCAGATCACAAGGCAGCCATGGTTTTGTTCCTTGACAGGGTCTATGGAATTGAGGACCAGGATTTTCTTCTGCACCTTCTTGAAGTTGGCTTTCTGCCAGATCTTCGTGCTGCTGCTTCTTTAGATACGGTAAGGTGTCTAAGTTGGTTGTTATTTCAGTTCCATTATCTTACTAAACACTGCAACATTTTTCATCCTCTCGAAAAATCATCATTTATTTCTTATGTCTTCTACATTTTTCAAATGCTGGATGAGCTGCCTGTTGCTGCTAAGCTTTGAGAATACTTGAAGAACAGTGAAGAAGCATTTTCCAGCATGATGCTCACTTAATAAGAGCCCCCACTGAGACCCATATACATGAGAGATATAGTGCTTTCCCCAGGAGATTTCCTGAGCTTGCGCTATTTAAAAAAAAAATAAAATCTGATAGGCTGCCAATGAACCATGTTACTGAGAGCCTCTTTCCAGAGACATACAGGAAGTGTTCATCCCTATACATTTGTTAGGGACACCTACATTGTTGTTTAGGAAGTCATTAAAACTTTGGTTTAGTTCCTCGTTAATATTGCTGCCCTTCTTTCTAGGAGTCTTATTCCCATCTAATTTTTCTTAGCTGTTTTGGTCTAGAAGCATCAGATTGAGAGAGCTTGTATGAGGACTAAGACATGGACTTTGCTTTCCCTGTTTAACCTTTTATTGTCAGCATTTTCTGAAAGTAATTATGCTGTTGTTTTGTATAAGAAAGAGCAGGTGAGAAGTTTTTCCTCTCTTGGAACTTGGGCTTGGTTGTAACACAGAAACATAACGAGTTTTGTAAATGCACGCTTGATTGTTATCACCTGATTTTTGGAGTGTTTTGTTAAGCAATTGTGACATCCTTGAGTATAGTCTTGAAAATTGTTTGGGATTTAAATGGCTACCTTTAGTATTTATATTTCTGTTACTAAAAATAAAACAAACCAAAAGCCCTCTGTGAGACTTTAGAAAGCAGGAAAAGAAGCTAGGCATCCAGCTCCCAGTAGATATCAAATACTCATTTGTGTGTTTTGGAAATTTTCCTCTATCTAATTACTGCAAATGAAAAACAAGAAGTTGTCTTCATTTGTAACATCGATGAGATAAATCTAATTTCTGTCCAATTTAATTCCTAGGCTGCTTTAAGTGCTACAGATATGGCTTTGGCTCTAAATCGATACCTTTGCACAGCAGTCTTGCCTCTGTTGACCAGATGTGCTCCTCTATTTGCTGGCACAGAGCACCACGCATCTCTCATCGATTCCTTATTACATACTGTGTACAGACTCTCAAAAGGATGCTCTCTTACCAAAGCTCAGCGAGATTCTATCGAAGAGTGTTTGCTGTCTATCTGTGGGTAAGATAATACTTCTGGCTGTGCAGGATTGCTAACTGATTAAGTAACCTATGATATTTGTAATTCAGGCATGCTACTATGCCACCAGTAGCATAATTAAGGTGGTTTCTTCTTTCTTTGAATACTTGGTGATTAACTATAAGAACATTCTACAAAAAGACAAAACTCTGGAAATGTAGGCTTGTGTGTACACTGAAGTGCCATTTAGATACTTTAAGCTGTACAGATTGAGAGTATGGTTGATGATCAGTAGATTATACAGATTGAGATATTTGTTTATGTTGTGTTACGTTTGAAAACCTAATCAGTGACTAGTATTGTTATACCTCATTATTGACATGTATAAGACAAATTTTTTTCTGAGCATTGACAGTCTCAAAAACAGTTGATTATTATCCAATTTTTCTTATAAGCGTACAGGCTCAATTATCAGAAGTTCACAAGGCACTTTTGAATTAAATTTCTAATCGATGTTATCATTTAGGCTTTCAAATCACCAGAGATTTTTTTGAATATTTCACCATAAATTTTTTTGCATCATGTGGAAATGTGTTCAGAAATGGCAGAAATTTAAATTACAGTACTGTAAAGTACTGTATGGCGTTTTTTTATAAAATATATCACATTGACCGTTATATATACATATATATATATATATATAACCTTGATAAAAATCAATAAAATAGACCGGTTTTGGTTATTTATCTGTCCATGCCATTCTAACATAGATGCTATACACATTTCTTCTGTCCTTCCAGTTGCTGCCCGCTGTTGCATGTCTTGTTTAGTACATCTAACGAGTAACCATTCTTAGGTCTTTCTTAGTTTCTAGGATATTTTTAAGAGCCGTTGAGATACATTTCAAGAAATTAACATTATAGCCTTTTTTCAAGAGCATGATAATCATAATACACAATATCAAAACTTATTAGTGTTTTTCCTGATTGTCTATAGATCAGATATTTTCTCTGCTTCTTTAAAGCAGTTTTTTTTCAGCTTCTTCAGAAGATACTCTTTGGTATGCACTTGTTTGTTTTCTTTTGGACACGTTTTTTTAGTGCCACGAGCAAAATCCTATTACTTTAGGAATTTGAAGAATTTTAATGGCATACAACTATGCCATATTGCTTTTATGTGTTTATTATTTACACAAAACTATGTTGATACACACTTTCTGAAATGGTGTGTCTGCTTTTAGGCAGTTGCGGCCCTCCATGATGCAGCATTTGCTGAGAAGACTAGTGTTTGACGTTCCTCTATTAAATGAACATGCAAAGATGCCTCTTAAGGTAAAAGTTTATTTTAGTGCTCAGTAGCATTCCTTGTAACAAAATGCAATGGAAAATACTTACATGGAGGTAGTAAAACTACCTTTTCTCTCGGCTAGATTAAAAAAAAAAAAATACATATTAGCACTCATGTTGTCCAAAAGCAAACCTGAATCCTGGCCATTGTGTAACAGAATTTATTTTGAAATAAATGTTTTCAATTATATCTTAGACTCTTGGAGTCCATATTTCTGAGACACCTCTGGTTCTACATGAATGATAAAACTTCTGTCTTTTTATATTGTACATGCATGTCAGTTCTTATCTCAGTTTTTTCTTTAATAATCTGACAATTTAAATATTAAAGAGATAAGAATAGATTACTTAAATCTGAAGATATATGTGTCTTTTTTTTCTGATACATGAAAAGCATAACAATTGAGAGGTATTGAGGTTATAGTTTTGGTTAACAAAATCTTCTCTTCTACAAATCAGGGGTTTCTTTTTGTGATTTTTTTTTTTGGTGTGTGTTTTTGTTTTGTTTTAATTTTTAATTTTTTTCTCCTGTGTTTATTTCTGCACATTTAAATTATCTGCATTTTTTCCTTCTTGGTGTTTGTTCTGGCTGAAGGAAGTGAATCTTTACTGAATGTGACTTGCAATATTTTGCCAACATGTTTTGCAAAAGTGATGTTGAAACAATTCTCTTCTCTGAAGAACTGTGAAAATAAACTCTGAATTTAAATTCCAGCTAAATTTTTTAGCAAGATCTATCTGTGCCTTAGGGAAATCTGCCTCTGAGGAGGACTGGGTTTTTTACTTTGCTATTGCCAGAAATTTTTCGTTTGGGTTGGCTTTTACTGACAGATGCACAACTAATTTTTCTTCTTCTCTGATATTCAGGGACATAGAGGACACATGAAGTGCAAAATTTATAATGTTTTAGTTTGGCAAATACCCAGTAGCAGGTCCTTGCACCATTTGAATCCCTGACAATCTGGAATATTGTAGCATCTTAAGAAGGAAGTATCAGTGAAACATGTATTTAATGAAAGAAAGGGAGAGAGGATAAAGGTTGTCTACCAATTGTAAGTAGAGAATGGGAGGGTAGATTGACAGCAGGTTTTACAACTCACACAAGAAATTAGTCACACTGAGAGTTATTGGTGAATAGCTCTCAGACGTGTAAATAATAACTGGGAACTAGACAAAATCATGGTTCTAGTGTCTTACATCCAAACAGCAGTGTTCAGAAGACTGGCAGACAGATGGAGGTAAATTCTTAGTTCAGCTGAGCTGTCAAGAGTTCTTGTGGTACTCGGGAAAATTATCCTGTCATTACCTGTTACGTGTTTTGCATATGCCACTAATGTTAAAAGAAAGAACTGCTCATTCTGTATGTATATCCACCAGTGATTTAAAGAACGGATACACAACATGGCTTCTTGACAAAAAGTTAGAAATTTTTCTGGCAGTATCTGTGTAATGTTTGAGTGCCAGAACGGAACTACATCAACAGTTATATTTTATTTGCTTCCAAAATATGTTCTGTTGTAGTTGCTGACAAATCATTATGAAAGATGCTGGAAGTATTATTGTTTGCCAGGTGGATGGGGTAACTTTGGTGCTGCCTCAGAAGAAGAACTTCATTTATCCAGAAAGTTGTTCTGGGGTATTTTTGATGCTTTGTCTCAAAAGGTAAGTCATTTTAATATCTATCTACTACTTTAAAAGCCTTACTATATAAACTCTTTTTCTTTAATCTGTCATTTTTTTACTCATCTTTTAGCAACACTATATTATCCAATTTAAAGGGAAAAATATGGGCTTTAGTAAACTTAAATCTTCCTCCATTTTGTCTGCTCTTTAAAAAACCCTATATGGCTAATGAAGTAATTTTGAGGTGTATCTGTAGAAGTCAGCTGCACTTCAGTGCCTTAAAAGCAAATTCAAGCTTCTGTGGTTGAATGAAAGCTGCACTTTTCTACCTTGCACATTATCTTTAAACCAAGAGCATAGTCCTTTGCTTAGTAGTTGTACTTTTATCATACTTGAATCAATTCTATGTTGGGCAAAAGCTTGGTAGTACACCTTTGGTATGTATTTATTGTTAATTCTGTGTGTATTTTTAACCAACTTAATTAAAAGGAGTTTAATTTCAAATCTAGATATTTAGAAATGCTGTGCATATTCCTGTGCTATGTTCTCTTCCCAGACATTTGAGAGAACCTTAATCTACAGTGTATGATATGCTTTGGATAGTCAGTTTCCTTGATTTTCAAAATAAAATTAAAAATTAAATAAAATAAATAAAATAAATAAAATTTACCACTGCATAGGAAAGCCATTCTGTGGTTGCTTGTTTCACATACAGATATATCAGTTTTAGCAGTGATATTGATAGCGTCCATTCACCACTCACTTTCTGTCCCCTCTGTGTTCCACAGAAGTATGAACAAGAGCTGTTCAAATTGGCTTTGCCTTGTTTGAGTGCAGTTGCAGGGGCCTTGCCTCCAGACTATATGGAATCAAATTATGTCAATATGATGGAAAAACAGTCTTCAATGGATTCAGATGGGAACTTTAATCCTCAACCTGTTGATACATCAAAGTAAGGAATTATTTTGTTGCAACTAGGTTGTTTGGGTTTTTTTTAATCATGAATGTGTAAAAGAGGGGTGGAGCCTCTTTTAATGTGAGCTTTTGTTCTTTTCTGGATGCTTATCTTCTATAGAAAATAGAAATTAATTTTTATTTACGTGTTATTTTAAATAATTTAAAGCAACAAATATCCAGTTACATAACTAATTTCTTGGTCAACCTAGAACATTTTAAATGCCTAAACATTTTCAGCCTGAAGATAGAACTGTCTAGTTAGTTACCCTTGTATGTCTGCTGCAAACAAACCATCATGTTTTTAGGAGCAGAAAAAGTAGGCTAGTCTGCATCATCCCTGTCATTACTAACACATGTCAAGGTGCTGATTCAAGTCTGTGTGAATGACAGTGTACTTGCAGAAAATTATGATGGTCATACATTCATACAATCTCTTTTCACTATGACTCGTGGGGAATTGGGTGGAAAAATCTTTATTTCCTTTAGGCTGTCAGGCTCTGACCATGCTCTTTTAAGTACATTAGCCAGATAAAACACGTATCTGAATGGGATTTTTCTATCCTGATTTTTGACTATAGCCAGCACCCCGTTCTCCTTTGTACAGAATAGTCTTAACAGCAGTGTGGTTATGCAATGTATCTTGAAAAATGCCACTTGTGAGACATTTGCTTCAATTGCCTTTGTGAGCTTTCTGTCTTTATTAACATTCAGAACACAGAATGCTGCCAATAGATTGATACCTTTCTTACAGCATGCTTGTATATATATGTATGCACATTGAAATATGGTAGCAAAAGCCATAATCAGTGCTGTACACCAGTGACCATTAAAATTCATGTTTAAGATGTATTTAAAATATATGAAGGTTTAACAGAATTTAGTAAGGATAGCATACTGTCATATAACTAACTAAAGATGCCTTCATCTGGTGTCCTTTCAGTGGAAAATTGCAGATAGCCAGAATATACTTGAAAAACTCAGAAAATATTGTGTAACGTTACCTAAATCATCAGTCACCTCATTGCAATAAGAGTCAACAGTTCTGTGATGGTTCAAGACAAAGAAAGCACTACTTTTATCAATGTCGCTTCCAACCTGTTATTGTAACATGAAGATCCTGCATCACATTGCTTACTAGTCTTGGATGTATTTATATGAAGCTATAGATAAAAGGACTTTATCGTACTTGCATTTCTGAAATGCATGATACCATTATACCATTAGTAGAGTTGCCCTCAAGTACACGCTTTCAAATAGTAAAAAACCTTAATGGCCATGATGGATGAATATTTTCTGACCTTTGTATGTGGTTAGTCTCCTGCAAACTGTAACTCTGATATGGTTTTGTTTTATATTTCTGCTTTTTCCTCACCCTGTGACTGAAGATTAAACCCAGACTCTTGTACTTTACAGTAGGTGGCACTGTAACACCTATGCTGTTAAAATTCTTTGTTTTAGGAGGGAAGATTTTGCTATTTCATAAGTGATTAAGAAGCAATTGTTTCATTTGTAGGAATGCAGATGCAGAAAAATACTGATATTTTATAGATTTTTTTTTTTTTTTTTTTGGAAGAGGATTCTGTCTCTAGTGCTTGTTTGACAGTTCAGGATAGCTGCTTTTCCTTTACTGCTTAAGAAACCTTAACTCCTTCACTGTCTTGTACACCTGTTGAAAGACTAGTGTTTATTCTCTATTTTTAATAAGGATTTTAATATTTTTAATATTCACTGGGGTGTCGGAAAATAGAACCTTGCACATGTGACTTCTGAGTTGTCTTAAGTTATAGTGCTTCAGGAATATAATAAAATTTATAGGAATATATAAAATACATGATGTGTTTCAAAAGGACTGTTAGCACACTTAGTTTATAATGAACACGTTCAGTAAGTCACTGCTGTATTTCTGAAATTATGGATCATTGTTACATCTTTAATCTTAAGAAAATGAATATTAGAAATATGTGACAAAAAGCGTGAGTGCTTGGTATCAATAATGATTTTTTCCCTGCACACATGTGAAAGAAGTAAAATTTCTACAACAGCTGTAGTTCTCATTCAGTGCTCATCAAATAACTCAGATTCTTTCCTTGATTTAACTGGAGTTTAGGGCAAACTGTATGTGAGGAAACAGATCCCTGTAAAATGCTTTTAATGGATGTATGCACTACTAAGTATTTATTTGAGAGTTTTATTTTAAACAAAAGCATTCACATTTTAGCATGTGTGATACAATGACCATTTTTCTCTTCACTTTCAGCATTACAATCCCTGAAAAGCTAGAATATTTCATTAACAAATATGCAGAACACTCTCATGACAAATGGTCAATGGAAAAGGTAAAATCTGTATTCCTGTTAATCAGAATTTTTATTTGAATCCATTTCATTGTTAAAATATTTTACTTTGAATACTGTTACTTTTCTTAATGCTACAAATTGGTACGTAGGTAAGATATAAGCCTATATTTTCTTGAACCCAGGACAAATGCATTGGGGGGGAAAGTTCAGTAAGTGCACATAAGTATTTAAAAATATTGTTTTTATCATTGACTTTTGAGTAAGTATAGTTACTAATTGTTTGAGTTTTATTGAATTGAAATTTTATTTTTTTTAACTAAAAAGCCTCTCTAGGGTTTCTATTCCATTGTGCAGTTTGTGTGTCCAGTACTAAAAATAGTTCCTCAACTGTAGCATAGTATTCTACTTTATATAAGTATAAAAAAGAAAAAAAAGTATTGAAATTTTAGCTTTGTGTAATCATTAATTTTCAAAAAGAAGGCATTCTACATTCATTTCATGTAGATAGTATAAATGTTGGTTGAGAAAATGTTAACGGAATAGTAGAAAGAAACTTTTAAGGGAATAGTTCTGTGGAAGCATTGTTCAGTTCCTTTGTACCAATTAAAATATGATATTTCAGAATTTTTTTGCTGTTCCCCATTTTTTTCCTCTCATCATTACTGTTTTCAGTTTGCCAATGGATGGACATACGGTGAAACATATTCTGAATCTGCAAAAGTGCAACCATTAATGAAGCAATATAAGTTACTGTCTGAAAAGGTAAGGAGTTTGTTCATTCTTGATCCACAGTGATTGAAGAATTGCTTCATTCACTATGAAAATATCATCTTATGTTTACTTTTAAAAAAATTATTTAGAATACACATCAGCCGATATATGATCGTTGCCTGCCTCAAAATCTCAAAAAGACATAGAAAGTTTTTATTGTATGATAAATAGGCCACTCAATCTATTCATGGCTGAATTTACATGGCATAACTTACAGTGAAACTGAAGTGTCGTATTGCCAGTATGCTTTTATAGAATCATAGAATCATAGAATAGT